CATTTGAAGGGCGATCTCTTTGTCGATATCAGGGATTTCAGCAGTGATAATCTGGTAGGCTCGGCGCAGTGGGCCATAGTATCTTTCAATCATGCCTATCGAATTGTGTGTTTCAATAGGGATGCTTCTTGTGCTAATATTTATAGTTCTTGTATAGGTCTTGAATTCCTTGCTCACAAAGTTCTTTCCGGCGTCGTGTGTGATCAAGTCTGGAAGGCCTAGATAGATATCAATCCAGCACATTCGCAGTATATTCCAGGTGTATTTGGCACTGATGTCTTTTAACCATCGGCCGGATTGGAAGCGAGTTACTTCATCAATAACGTAAAGAAGAGGCATATTGTCAATATACATGATATCAACAATAATGTTGAAGTTGAAATGTGCCTCATCCTTGAGGTTAAATCGGAATCGACCAGAGGATTTACTAAACTTCTGACAGTAGTGACAGAACTTAGTAAGATATTCTAACGCGGCTGTATTTGGCTCATAACCAGCACTTCTTAAAAGCGTCTGAAGTCTATCAACAGATGGATGTCCGAAACGGCAATATAATTTTCGTAACTTAACGTCTGTCAGAAAACAAGGATTCATATCAAATGAAGAGGTAAGGTATGAAGACAGAGCAGAATTCCATAGCAGAAATGGGTGACCGAATCGGCGAATAACAGGGATCTCAACAAATGATTTAGTAGCGGAGTTGAAAGGCGTTACAGGCTTCGGAGTCACGATAACATTCTTGAGGTTGTTATAATATATCCCGAGATTGTCTATATCTGCTAGGCATAGCAGAAATGGGGTATCAGCGTTGACAATATAGAATTGGATGTTGCCAATTGGGGTTGAAACTTTTGCGGAGCCAATTGATGAGGTTATTCCAATGCCAAATTGGACATTTACCTGGCCAGCTGTAGAGGTATCTAATGTAATGTTTTCTGTGTTTTGAAGTGCCTGGAATTGGCCATATACAGCTGTAGACTTGCTGGAGGCACCAGTATCAATCATTATTCCCATAAAGATCTTAGAGTTGTACCGGGTATCGCTCGCGGAAGTGATAGTGGCGTTATAGCTGAATGGGTCGGTGTCAACTATCGGGTTCGAAAACTTTTGATCGTTGATACAATGGGTGAAGGATCGATTGGTAAGTTCAGAAGTTGTAATCATTGCTTGTTCAGTAGTAATTGAGCCGAATGAAGTAACAAATGTATCAATAAGGTTGTATTCTTCCTCAATAAGGTCTGTTTCAGCTTCAGAAACAAAAGTTCGGATATCAGTCACGAGTGTTTTAAAAGCCTCTGCTTCCTCTTCATTGGTATCTCCTTCACAATATATTATATACTGCCTGTATCGCCTGCTGAAGTCGCCATTCATTCCTTTGTCATTGTTAAAACGCTGTCGATATTTCTCTTTGGATTGCCTTTGTTCTTCCTCAGTGTGTCTCCAGGAGCGGCAGGTTGGTTTTTGGCAGACATAACACTTGTCCGCTGGGCCCTTTTTGCTTTGGTTGTAGTTCCTGTTCTGGTTGTAGTACCTTCTATCAGTGTAGAAGGCTTCTTCTCGGGTATCTGTGTGCGAAATTCCGTGTTTTTGTGGGTTCTCCTTCTCCCAAGTGCTGATTGAGGATTGCAGTTTGTTGATTAGTACTGCTAGGTCTTCAGGTGGATCAGCAATGGCCATGCGGCAGGCTGGTACTCCCTGGCAAGCTGTAATAAGCTTGTTAATCAGATTCATGTTGCTTCGGAGTTCAGGGTAGAGGCCATAACGTTGTTTTAGGAGGTTACTGAGTAGGAGCTGAAAGCCTTAGTAGATTGAGATTGATTTTTCAGAGTTATCATTCATAACCTTCTGCAGTAAGATAGCGTTTCACTTAGTCAAGTTCTGCCGGTAAAATTCAGGTCCTTCAAAGAACTGGCGTAAGTGATGGCATACTTCTTGAAATGTCTTTGATGATAATTTACTGCTGTAATAGTGGTCTTCAGCAACTCCCTTAAGCATTGTTGGCAATGCAGCTTTGTAGCCATGTGGTGGTAGGCCAGCTCTAGAGCAAATGTCATAAAAGATGTTGAGTTTGAAGTCAAGGCTGCTGTTGTCCGTACCGCTATATTTCTGGTCTTCTGTATAGATCTTTGTGACTGAGGCAATTTCCTTGGAAAGGTCATTCTTGGGCCTCATGGAGAGTAGATGATTGTTCTTTTAGGCAACGTGGTTAGTCTCGAGGGCGAGATAGTCAGCTTCAGGAACGTAACTGATTCCTGGGGTAGAAGAATTGGAAGGATTGGCTTTGGGAGTAGCGAAACAGTCCTCTGAAGAGACTGGAAGATCTGGATAGTCTCTTCTTGCTTGCAGATTGCTTTTGAGGGAGGCTAAAGGGTTTGGATAACCTTCTACAGCTTGTGTATGTTCTCTTAGGCTATCGCGTGTTAGATTCAAACGTTTTCGGAGCATGGCAGTGATCATTGGTAAATCAAGTTCTTCTAGAGCAGCTTTAAGCTCTTTATCAGTCCATTCATGGAATTCATCTTGCTGGACCACTTCAGAGAGTGTATTATAGAGGGGATTTCTCGTGTTGTGACGGCAGACAAATACTCCTCGCTGAAGCAAGTTATTTCGGAGGTTCACTCTTGTGTAAGGGCTGAGTTGTTTGAAATGTTCAGGTTTCCAGCCTTCGAATTGTTCTCGGAATGTTATCCACAGGTTGTGATCAAGAATGGTATTTGTGAATTGTATATTTATCGCATAGATATTGAGGTCCTGTTTTGTGGCTATATTCAGATCAATTTCCCAATCCTTATCTCCACTTGATGAGGACTGCGGTAGTTGAGACATGATAATGCAAAAATAGGGGAGTGTAACAAGGTATAAAAGATAGATAGAAAAAAAAAAGGAACAGTATAGAGGTTAGTAAGAAAGAGGAAGTGCTAAAATAGGGAAAACAAGAGGGGAAAACAGATAAGAAGTGGGAGAAATAAGAAAGAATAAGAAAAATAAGGGGCAGTGATCAAAGATTGAGGTTTTTAGTATTTTTGGACGTATTTATAGACCTTCGGGCTTTATAAATGATGATTAGCAAGAGAGTGCGCTTCTAGGCGATAGTTGTTCAACAGTTTTTGGAGCTATTGAATGTCCGTTCAAGCTTCGAATTGTCACAATCTTCTCCTTCAACTGATATAGGGCAATAGCTAGGCGATCATGGAAAACAGCTTCTTAG